GAGTTCACACTTGAATTACTTGGGACCCTTCTGGAAAAGTGGGGACCCATACCCAGGTCTGTTCTTTTAAAGTGGAATGATAAAACATATCAACAGAAATACCAAACACTGATTGATGAAGCAAACTTAGAAAGTTGTATAAACTCTATTGATAAGTCAGGAATGCCCACAGATGCCATTAGCGGTGGACTTGTATATCTTGAGGTAGATCCAACATTTACAAATGTAGTGTATCGTTTTGCTTCTCCGAGGGTATCTGATAAAATTATTCAGGAATATGAAACTAAAACTAGGAATAATGTTCGCGATTTAATCACAAGTAGTCATGAATTTCCAAAGATTGCTGGATTTTGGGGAAACCTATTTGAAGATTTTGCCCATTTAGAGTTGAAAAGGGGTGGTACATTTTGGATACGGTGCCTGAATAATGATAACTCAGAGATCACTGAAAAATGTATTGAGAATCTGGAGTGTAATTGGTTCATGATGCTGAATGAAGCACATAAAGAATATTATAACAGACCAAAATCAAAGATGTTTGCATCAATTGATTCTTTTAGCCTCGATAACAATGCCTTGGCCTTGTACCAAATTACTATCTCAACGAATCACGGCATAAAGGTAGGGGACAATAGACATAATTGAATTTATAATTTGTCGCTATCACTAACTCAAGTTGTATAGATAAAAGGACTTAATGACCTTAACCATTTCCTCTCATGGAAAAATGATGTGAATGAAATTAATCTATACTTTGTCGTGCCATCAGACATCTTTGAAAAATTTCCCCCTCAAAAATACAAGACAGCCAAAGACCAAAATTGTCAGAAAATTCCGAAATGGATTAATAATATAACCCAATATGCACTAGAGATCAATGTGGGTTCAGGACAGTACAATTTGAAACGATCTAGTGATGCGATGTTGGGAGACAATGAAAGTAGGGAATTGTCAGAGAAAAGAATGAATAAAAAAGATATGAAAAAATGAAAAATGAAAAAGTAGATAATATAGTTATATTACTTTTTATATCACATTTTAAGTCGTGGGTTGAGCCTTATGATAATTCAAAATTTATTCTTTATGGGTTGAACACAAAAATAATGAAAATTTCCAAGACTGCTGGTCAATCCAGTTCAGGTGTGATGGTTCTAAAGTGACTTAGACTAAGAAAATTAACTCTGTGTATTCTTATAGTAATATGCTTTTATTTTTTTCAATATCAATAAAGCTGACTCTAGTGGCTCAATTTTGCATATATAATTGTGTTTACTTTTGCATATATATTTCTGGAATTTATTCCAATGTTCACAGTTTTTGTATCAAGTGACTTATTATATGTAATGCTTGAATAAATTTTTTATCTAATAATTTAGTAGACAAATATCATACTTTGTATGAATTCACTAAAAATCGGGTTTTTTATTATTTTACTAAATGTTGTGTGTGAAATTTAAATTGGCCAATCAGAAATTTGTATCCAAAAATAAATAAAATCACTGCTGATGATGAATATGGTAAAAAATAGCCAGCTAACATTTGATCAAATGAATTATTTATTCTTATTGAAAAATTCAATTAAACCATAATAAAAATCAATTAATATAAAAATTAAAAAGAATTGGAGTTTACACTAATACCTTCTTCATATAATTTTTTTCTATTAAAAAACTCTTCACCAAAGTCACTTTCATCATATAATTGTTCACCATTATTTAATTGTTCAACATCACTACTATTATTAATATTGCCATCATCATCACTACTATTATTAATAATACCATTACTACCATTAATATTAATATTAATACTATTATTATTATTATTATTATTATTATTATTATTACTGTATATAATATTTTCCTTATTATTAATATCAATACTATTATTAATATTATTATTATTATTACTGTATATAATATTTTCCTTATTATTAATATCAATACTATTATTAATATTATTATTATTATTACTGTATATAATATTTTCCTTATTATTAATATCAATACTATTATTAATATTATTATTATTATTACTGTATATAATATTTTCCTTATTATTAATATCAATACTATTATTAATATTATTATTATTA